GAAAATAAAAGCTACATAAATAAATAATTTGAGCAGATTCGAAGTATCTTTATATAGCCCTATGTTGAGTGGAAGATAAATTTCATGCGCTGCAAAATGAGAGCAGATAGGCATAGATTATTATCTGGGCTGCAAAGTGGAGGATTACAAGATGGCAGCAATGAATTCAAATTCTGCATCCCCATTCAGCATTAACCTTGTGAACTCTCAAGCTTCCTCCTTCCTTTATATTTTCAAGATGGACAGTGTTTAATATTTATTTGTTATGTTTATGTAGGGGTGTGGATCTATACATATGTTGTATATAGTATGTTAGGTGTGTGTCATGTATGTGTTCACTTTGAGAGCGGGCAACTAAATTTCATTTTTGATGTGTGCCTTTGTGCCCATAGTAAAAAAAAAATGACAATAAAGGTTATCTTGCCTTGCCTTGCCTTACCTTGCCTTGCCTTATCTCACCTTACCTTACTTTATCTCATCTCATCTCATCTCATCTTATCTTATCTTATCTTATCTTATCTCACCTAACCTTATCTTATCTTATCTCATCTCGCCTCGCCTCGCCTTGCCTTGCCTTGCCTTGCTTTGCCTCGCCTCGCCTCGCTTCGTCTCGTCTCGTCATCTCGTCTCGTCTCGTCGTCTCGTCTCGTCTTGTCTTATCTTAGTGTCATCTAATGATCAGTTTGGTTGGGGCAGCCCAGATAGGATGTGACTCAGAAAGGGGAACAACTCCCCTCCCCTCTTTTCTCAGGTCGCTTTGCAAAACATTTCACTCCTCTCTTTTCATAGTTTTCAGCTGCTTTTGTCATGTACTCAAGTCCTATTGGCCATACAGTGCTACAGCATCATTCTCCTGATGCAGTCCCGAATTAGATTATTGGGATTCATCCACGAACAGAAGAAACAGCAAGTAAGAGAAACAATGGGGCTGAGGGAAAAAAACTGAATATTTGCATAATATAAATTATTTAGAAGGCAGAATGTCTACCTCAGTGAAATGTTATTTGTTCCACTAAGCACAGGTCTAGCCCCCAACCCATATATTTTGCAATCTAAGTGTGCAGTACTTACTCATTCCTTAAAGGCCATTCCTTTTTTTGTGGGTGTCTCACATTTTCAGGGTAAAATATTTACTTCTTGGGGTGAGAGGCAAAATTTAAAGAATAAGCTTTATTCTGATTCATTTTCTGCCTTTCAAAGCTTCAGGTATAAATTGTTCTAATTATTTTATAAAGAGTTCCCTACATTTGAGATTCACATCAAACCGGATTTCTGAGAATGCTTAGCATTTTAGGAATAAGACAATATTGACAGCAAAACCAAGATCATGGCATCCGGCCCTCTCAATTCTTTGCAAATAGATGGGGAAGAAATGGAGGTAGTGACAGATTTTATCTTCCTGGGCTCCAAGATCACCACAGATGGGGACTGCAGCCAAGAAATTAAAAGACACTTGCTCCTGGAGAGGAAAGCTATGGCAAATTTAGACAGCATACTAAAAAGCAGAGACATCACCCTGCCAACAAAAGTACGTATAGTCAAGGCCATGGTTTTCCCAATTGCAATGTATGGCTGTGAAAGCTGGACCATAAGAAAGGCTGAGTGCAAAAGAATTGAGACCTTTGAACTATGGTTCTGGAGAAGACTCCTGCGAGTCCCTTGGATTGCAAGGCAATCAAACTGGTCAGTTCTAGAGGAGATCAACCCTGACTGCTCTTTAGAAGGCCAGATCCTGAAGTTGAAACTCAAGTACTTTGGCCACCTAATGAGAAGGAAGGACTCACTGGAGAAGAGCCTAATGCTGGGAAAGATTGAGGGCAATAGAAGAAGGGGACGACAGAGAATGAGATGGCTGGATGGAGTCACTGAAGCAGTAGGCGTGAACTTAAATGGACTCCAGAAGATGGTGTAGTCAGTCTGTGCAATCTTCTTGCAACAGCTTACCAAGTGGTCCACTGTTTCTTCAGCTTCTTTGCATAGGCGGCACTTACTGTCTGTTGCTGTCTTCTCAATTTTGACTTTGTATGCATTTGTCCTTAAGGCTTGGTCTTGTGCAGCCAGAATTAGTCCCTCGGTCTCTTTCTTCAATTTTCCTGCTCTTAGCCATTGCCAGGTCTTATTATTATCTGCTTTCCCAGCTATTTTTTTTCATGTATTGGCCATGTAGTGCTTTGTCTTCCCATGCCTCTATTCTGTTCTTCATTTGGTCTTTCTTGTAGGCCAGTTTGGTCTCTCCAGTAGTCAGTAAGCCTTCCTGATATACTAATTTCAGTGCATCTTCATCATTGTTCTTCAGATATTCTTCCAAAGCCATTTTTTCTTCTTCAACCATCTGATGTACTTGTAGCATTCCACGCCCACCTATTTGCCTTGGTAGATAAAGTCTATCAATGTCACTGCGTGGATGAAGGGCATGATTCATTGTCATTATTTTTCTGGTCTGCCTATCCATTGCTTTTAGTTCTGCTTGAGTCCAGTCCACTATTCCAGCTGTGTACCTAATGACTGGGATTGCCCAGGTGTTGATTGCCTTTATGGTATTTCCTCCATTGAGTTTGGACTTTAAGATCTTCTTCACTCTCTTGATGTATTCACCTCTAATCTTTTTCTTGACTTCAGTGTGCTTGATGTTGTCAGCTTGAAGGATACCCAAGTATTTATAGTACTCTTCCTCATCCAGACTCTTAATGTTATTTTCGTGGGGCATCTTGATATTATTATTATTATTATTATTATTATTATTATTATTATTATTATTATTATTATTGATCATCGCACAGTCAGCCAGATGTTCAGACTGGATTTGGCATTTTGTCTACCTATCGAGTCCTTACCCAGGACCTGGGATAGGCAGATGTGGATGTTTGATGGTATTACAGATATCGTCGCAGGATGGAAGCAGTTCCTAATAAGGCCGCCTTTTGCAATTGACTAATAGCGAATTTGTCAATGCCAATGGTGTTCAAGTGGTGCTCCAGTTGTTTTGGGATTGCACCCAAGGAGCCTATGACTATTGGTACTACCCTTGCTTGCTTTTGCCACAGTCTTTCTATTTCTATTTGTAGGTCTTTGTATTTTGTTATCTTCTCCAGTTCTTTCTCTTCTATTCTGCTATCTCCAGGCACTGCCACGTCCACTATCCAGACTTTTTTGTCTTTCTTATCGACAATTGTTAAGTCTGGGGTGTTATGTTGCAGGTGCTTGTCTGTTTGAATTCTGAAGTCCCAGAGCAGTTTAATTTTATCATTTTCTATGACTTTCTCTATTTTATGATCCCACCAGTTTTTGCTTACAGGCAAATGATATTTTTTGCAGATCTTCCAATGCACCATTGTTGCTACTTTGTCATGCCGCTGCTTGTAATCAGTCTGTGCAATCTTCTTGCAACAGCTTACCAAGTGGTCCACTGTTTCTTCAGCTTCTTTGCATAGGCGGCACTTACTGTCTGTTGCTGTCTTCTCAATTTTGACTTTGTATGCATTTGTCCTTAAGGCTTGGTCTTGTGCAGCCAGAATTAGTCCCTCGGTCTCTTTCTTCAATTTTCCTGCTCTTAGCCATTGCCAGGTTTTATTATTATCTGCTTTCCCAGCTATTTTTTTCATGTATTGGCCATGTAGTGCTTTGTCTTCCCATGCCTCTATTCTGTTCTTCATTTGGTCTTTCTTGTAGGCCAGTTTGGTCTCTCCAGTAGTTAGTAAGCCTTCCTGATATACTAATTTCAGTGCATCTTCATCATTGTTCTTCAGATATTCTTCCAAAGCCATTTTTTCTTCTTCAACCATCTGATGTACTTGTAGCATTCCACGCCCACCTATTTGCCTTGGTAGATAAAGTCTATCAATGTCACTGCGTGGATGAAGGGCATGATTCATTGTCATTATTTTTCTGGTCTGCCTATCCATTGCTTTTAGTTCTGCTTGAGTCCAGTCCACTATTCCAGCTGTGTACCTAATGACTGGGATTGCCCAGGTGTTGATTGCCTTTATGGTATTTCCTCCATTGAGTTTGGACTTTAAGATCTTCTTCACTCTCTTGATGTATTCACCTCTAATCTTTTTCTTGACTTCAGTGTGCTTGATGTTGTCAGCTTGAAGGATACCCAAGTATTTGTAGTACTCTTCCTCATCCAGACTCTTAATGTTATTTTCGTGGGGCATCTTGATTCCTTCAGTTTTCACTATTTTTCCTTGTTTGATAGTAAGTGTGGCACATTTGTCCAAGCCAAACTCCATTACAATATCTTGGCTATATATACGGACAGTGTTGAGCAGCGATTCTATTTCAGATGATGTTTTTCCATACAGCTTCAGATCATCCATGTAAAGGAGGTGGGATAGTCTGGCAGATGTTTTTGATGTTTGATAGCCATGTCCTGAGTTATTCAGTATTGTTGACAGAGGAAACAGTGCAATGCCAAATAGTAATGGTGATAATGAATTATTATTATTATTATTATATCTTGCCTTATTATATAAAATATTTTATATAAAACTCAAGGTAGTAAACATATCTAATGCTCGTGCCTCCTATTTTTCCCACAACAAAAATCCTGCAAGTTGGGTTGGGCTGAATAGGGTGATTAGACCAATAATATCCAGCCGGATTTCATGCTTAAGGAAGGCGAGAACTAAGTCTTCTGGTTTCAAGATCAACACTTAAGCACAACATCAAACTAGTTCTCAGGAATGTTGTCTCTGGCATATTAAGTTACAGTGAATATGATTTTTAAAAAACCTTTTTATCATATCATTTAAATGTTGAAGTATTAAAATGCAGTATAACCTAATCTTGGTAGTGGAAGAATGCATTAAAACAAAAATTAGTGAGTATTCATTCAATGAATATAAATAACGATGTCCTTGGGGGTACAAGAAAGATTCTGAGTACTATTTTCTATATTATGAAAGGAGACATGATTGCTGAGAATTTATTATTGTTCAGATTGTTCTGAATTATTATTGTTGTTAGAACATCTTCATTTTTTTCTCTTTTTTTCCCAGAGGGTATGAACTGCATGAACAAAGAGCATGGGTGTGAACATATCTGCCGGGAGACACCCAAAGGTGGGGTTGCCTGTGAATGTAGGCCTGGCTTTGAACTTGCCAAAAACCAGAAGGATTGCAAATGTAGGTAGTAGATGTATGCAAAATTTCAATTGTCCAATATGCTTTATTTTCTATAGTGCTGTTATTATTTAAAATCGGGAAAGCAGTTTAATTTCATTGACTAGAGCTTTTTTGCTGAAGGGGTTTTTTTTTTTCTGTAAGAAGCAATAGAAATTGAATCATTTAGTAGGTTTAACAGATTAATTTTCCAACTGTTGCTATGAAGTTAAAATGGTAGTTGAAAATTATGATACCCAACCCTAGATAATCTTCTCTGTTGTCTTTGCTGCCTCCTGAGCCAGTTTAATTATCGTTATGTGTCCCCAACAATGCAAAGTTAGAGCTGTCAATTCTTTAACTGGTGTGGGCCTTCACATATATTAAGTTCTTCCCCAAAACCTAGGATGTCATAATGTATTGGTGTAATTAGTATATGTTCAGATCCAAGCAGTGTGGCCCTTTGCAACTGATAGATGGAAATTTTGCCAATACACAAATTTTCTAAGTGCCAGCCAGGATTTTGGCCACCATAGCTGGTTTATGCCATAATCTTTCCATTTTGATTTTCAGAACTTAATATTTTGTAATCTTCTCATATATATTTTGTTCTATTCTACTATCCCTGATATTGCCACATCAATTATCTGTACTTTCTTCTTTTCAACCACAGTTATATCTGTTGTGTTATTATTATGTGTGGGTAATCTAAGACTAGTAGAAACTTTATAATTGAATAAGTATTCAATAATATTTATTTCTAATATTTATACCCTGCCCATCTAATCGAAGGGACTCTGGGCAGTTTACAAAATTAATTCCTTACTCCATAGTATGTTCCTTCTACTTTTCTTGAGTTGCTTCAAAACACAATATGGCCCCCAGCATCCCCAATGAGTGAACATGATTTTGTTGCTTTACTGACTCTCAGATTTTAAATTAGTTTTGACTGATGGCTAAAGCACAAGAAATAATTTTTGAGTACAACAGTCCATAGTGAAAGTAGTGCAGTGGTCAAGGCCTCAGCCTAGAAACTGGGAGTCAGTGAATTCTAGTCCTACTTTAGGCATGAAGCCAGCTGGGTGACCTTGTGCTTATCACTCTCATAGGGCTAAGAAGGATGCAGTGATAACCTATTTCCCAAACACTTTGCCAAGAAAGTTGCTGGGATTACTACAGGTAGTTTTTGAGTGTCAAAAACTGATTTAAAAGCATACACATACACACACACAAACACAAATGGGTGCATGCATATACACACACAGAAAGGCACAGGCACATAAAGAAACAGTCCGTGATGTGACTGGCAGCATACTACTAATTTTTTGGGGGGTAGTTTTGTAAGAATGAAGGAATCGTTAATGATATATTTTTAATTTTAATATTTTAGAGACTCTTTAAAAACTTTCTGAGGGTGTTTCATTTACAGTTAATATAACAGATTCCTTAGAGATGAAATATTCTACCATTATGAACTTCTTCTAATAGTGGATATATTTATGATATAAATCTATCCCATTCAAAATAAAATTATTCTTTATATCAAAATTGACCTAGATACTGTAGATATTGGAGTAACGTGGATAAATAAGTTTCAGATCTGATTCCAAAGGGAGAGCAGTCACAATCTTGAGAAGACTCAATAGTTGACTCACAGACAACTCTTGGGTTTATGCTATAATAAATATATGCCTATAGAGGAAAAACATAAAATATTTTATTTTATAATGACAAACTTTAAGCTGAGATATGCTATGCCATCTGATCCCTAATTTGGAGCCTTTAGACATAAGTGATAAATCCAGGGCTTTTTTTGTCATAGAACACCCAGAACGGAGTTCTGGCACCTTTTTTGGATGGAACCTTGTAGGGTAGGCAAGGCGGGTTGTATGACATGTGTGAGTTCCAGCACCTTTTTTTATATATATAAAAAGCACTGGATAAATCTAACAGTTTTTATACTCCTTGAGTGAGGAAAGTGTCTATTTTGAAATTCTGAAGGAACAGGAAGTCAGTTCTGATTTTTTGGGTGGAGAGAACTGGAAATCTATTAAATGAATTTTAAATATGTATAAATAAGGAAGTCTTCAACACTTAATAAAAAAGCTATTTATGACCCAGATTCAAAGTTCTAATGTCTGCTCCCTGCCATGATTATATGACCACATTTTAGATGCTCGGCAACTGGCCTGCATTTACCCACCATTTTCCAATGTCCCACAGTCACATCGCCATGATTTGCACTGTTATTGCTGGAAACCAGCCTTTACTTCTGGTTTCTGGTAAAAAAAATGCCTCATACCCGAACAATGGGTTTCTTTAATGATCAGGGAAGTCACTTAGTGACTGTGACATTCACTTTATGGCTGCCTCATTCATTTAATGACTGCCACAGAAAAGGTCATAAAATGAAGTACGTCATGTGGTGACCCGCTTTACATCCACCATGACAAAATTGCAGGCTCAATTACAGTCATAAGTCGTGGTCTGTGGTATCATGGTCCATAAATTAGGCTTAGACTTAATGAATGGTATCATAGCCTAACTACAGCAAATAAAAGTGCCTCTTAATCAAATTTCCTAAGATTGATAATTTCCAAATTGAAATCTACACTGAAAGTTGGCACAATTGGGAAGCGCCATTCTAGACAGGGGTGTCAAACTGGCGGCCCATGGGCTGGATGTGTTACATGCACACCACGCCCATCCCGGCTCCTCAAAGGCAAAAAACATCATGATACGTCACAATACATCATGTGACGCAATTGAGTTTGCCACCCATGCTCTAGACCAGGCATGTCAAACTGCTGGCCCACGGTCCGGATGCATCATGCCGAAACCGCACCCACATTGCCGCCAATGGAGAAAAAGTCGTGATACGTCGTGCGATGTCACATGACGTCACAAATTTGACATGCCTGCTCTAGACCATGGAAAACAAGAAGCCTCCTATTTGGCCGAAATAATTAAGGTGAGGTACAGATGGCTGACATGTGCCTTGATCTGCTGAATTTTTTTTCTCTGAAAATTGCATACTGTATTGTTTTTAATTTCCTGATAAGACCAGCAGAGCTGAACATGTATTTGATTTCAAAAATATGCTTATAAAGGTTCAAGAAAAGGTCCTGACTTCTTGACCTCCAGAGACATTCATTCAGATATTTTGTTTCTTCCTTGATAGTGTTGCTTTCAGAACTTGTTCATGGTTTCTTAATCAACTTCTGCAAGAGAAAACAAAGAAGCATTGCTTGCTTGCTTTATTTATGAGTGTGAACAGGAGTGTGAAGAATCACAAGTGGACTCAGAAAATGGGAGTAAAACAAGCAGGCATTAAATGCTTTTGCTTTGAAATTGCCCAGTCTGTTAAAACAATTGTACATCATATTCTTTTTTTTATTTTTAAGCAAGAAAGCAAGCAAGCAGAAATTTTGGAGTTGGGAAAAATAGGAGTTTGCTAGCTGCAACACATTTGAAAATAAAAATGCCAGGAACAAAATAATGCTGAGACAGAGCAGAGACAATTGGTATATATTAATTGTTTCATTGCTCACAGCAACTTCATAGTTTCACCAACATGATTTTATTTTGACAGAAGAACAGATGGATAGCATACTACAAACTACTAGTGTAGAAATTACCACTGAGCGAGAAAAAGTAACCTAGTGGCATCAGAAAGTACTTTAAAGTGATGGAATCAGTTCTGTTTCCCCTTAGCAGCTCATTCATCAAACATATTTCCAAAAAAGGGAAGGGACAAAATCATTTTTTTCCTTTTTCAATGAGGTGCGGCAAGGGAATAAGGGTTGATTTATGGGCTTCTGGAAGGTTGCTTTAGAACAAAATATTGAAACTAGGAATAAAATGCCTATAAGATGAACCAAAGTAAATTTTGCTGCACACATAGCAAAATAAAATTTAATATGCAAATATGCATAGCATATAGTTTATGAATAGATTTTAAAAGAATCATAATTGAAAGCTAGTATATTTTACAAAACAATTGTATATGTATTTCACACTTAAGGAACATGGTATGGCTAGCAGAGGTTTAATTCCCCTTGAAATTAAGCAAAAAAAACCCTGCATGTGTCATCCAGAAACCGCACCCACCCCATTGCCAGCAATAGCAAAACTGGCCCGATACATTGCGTGACGTCACGTGACTCGTGAGTTTGACATGTCTGCTATAGAGATAGACTGATGGAAACATGTCACTCATAGAAGAAAAAACAACAAGCAAAAACAATGTCCTTGCTGTCTAGTTCAGCCCAGTCCAGTGCAGCCCCAATGGAGCTGAGCAACTGATTTCATAGCCTCCCTCTGGAAGAAAGCATGCAGACATCTAGAGAAAGGACATCATCAAGTATTTTTGTGATAGGAAGAAAAGTAGCTCAGACTTCCCTAGGGAAAGTGTTGCTGATAGTGTTGATGATAGGAGATTCACTTCTCGGGGAACAGAATCAGCCGTCTATAGACTGGACCATCAATCTAGGGAGGTATGTTGTCTCCCTGGAACAAAAATCAAAGATGTGCTTGACAGCCTTATTAAGATAATTACTCTCTCTTTCTTCTTCATTTGGGTACAAATGACACAGCAATGAATCTAAAACAATATCAAGAGACTTAAGAGCAGCTCAGCAATAAAGTTAAGGAGTTAGGAGCACAAGTAATGTTCTCATCTGTGTTTCCAACAAGGTCTTAAGATGAAAACCTTAAAGGAGGAAAACAACTTAAGAAGCATAGGAAACTCTAAAAATAGCACAATAACATTGAAAAAGAAAAATAAGAAATCTAACATGAAACCAACATGGTTGCACAAAGAACTATCTGATAAGCTGAAAGACAAAAAGGATAAGTATACTGTAAAAAATGGAAAGAGGAACTCATAAATAAGGCAGAATACCAGCATATAGCCCGAATCTGCAAAGATATCAAGAAAACTAAGGCTCAGAATGAAGTAAAATGTGCAACAAATGTCAAAAATAATTTTTTAAAAAAAGTTTCAACATATAAAAATAAGAAAAAAATCAAAGAAATAATCGGTTCACTAATGGAAGAAAATGGCAAGGAAGTGACAGGTAGAGCTGCTAATTCTTTCTTTGCATCTGTCTTCACATAAAAAGAAAAATAGCCCAGATAGAACAGAACATAAAAGACAGTCTAGGAAGTCAAATTAAAATAGGCAAGAAAATAATAAGAGAACTCCTGTCTACTCTAGACAAGTTCAAATCACCAGGATCTGATGGATTACATCCCAGAATGTTGAAGGAGCTGGCAAACATATCTCCTAACCACTGAACCATATGTTTCAAAGTTTCTGAAGCACCAGGGAACTACCAGAGGACTGGAAAAGAACTGATATGGTTCTCATATTCAAAAAAGGGAAAAAAACAGATGCAGGCAATTATAGACCAATCAGCCTGACATCAGTACCTGGGAAGATACATGGATACATGGATTTCAGTAAGGCATTTAACAAAGTAGACTACAATCTACTTCTTGGTAAGCTAGAAAATGTGGGATAGACAGCAGCATCACCAGTGGAATTTGTAACAGGCTGAGAAACCACACTCAACGTGTAGTCCTTAATGGAATTACATCTACATGGAGGGAAGTAAGCAGTGGGGAACGCCAATGTTTTGTCTTAGGCCCAGTACTCTTCAATATCTTCATAAATGATTTAGATGAGACGTAGAAGGGGAACTCATCAAATTTGCAGACACCAAGCTGGTAGGAATAGCCCACTCCTCAGAAAATAGGCCTAAGATGCAGATGGATCTTGACAGACTTGAACACTGGGCCCTATCTAACAAAATGAAATTCAATGTAGAAAAAAGGAAGGTTTTGCACTTGGGTAAGAAAAACCAAATGTACAGGTACAGATTAGATGAAACTTGGCTGAATAGCAATAACTGCGAGAGAGATCTTGGGGTGGACAATCACTTAAATATGAGCCAGCAACTGCCAAAAAAGCCAACGCAATCCTAGGCTGCATTAACAGAGGGATAGAATCAAAATCATGTGAAGCTTTATAATGCCTTGATAAGACCACACTTGGAATATTGCATCCGGTTTTGGTCACCACAGTATAAAAAAGATGTTGAGACTTTGGAAAGAGTGCAAAAAAGCAACAAAGATGATTAGGGGGCTGGAAGCTAAAACATGAAAAGGATTGCAGGAATTGAGAATGTCTAAGTCTAGATTAGGGGTGACATGATAGCAATATTTGAGGGGCTGCCACAAAGAAGAAGAGGCCAGCCTGTTTTCCAAAGCACCAGTAGGCAAGATAAGGAGCAATGGAGAGAAACTAACCAAGGAGAGAAGCAACCTAGAACTAAGGAGAAATTTCCTGATAGTGAGAACAATAAACCAATGGAAGGACTTGTCTTTAGAAGTTGTTGGTGATCCATCACTGGAGGCTTTTAAAAAGAGACTGGACATCTGTTTTTCTGAAATAGTATAGGGTCTCCTGCTTGAGCAGAGGATTGGACTAGAAGACCTCCAAGGTCCCTTCCAACTCTTTTATTATTCTGAGTGGCCTTAGAGAAAGCAAAAGAGAGCTGGCATTTACATGCAGTCTGAGTTGCTGAAGCAGATGACCAAATTTTCTAAACAAAATCCTCCATTATGTGAAAATTAATAGTGAGGCATAATTCTCCATAATCATCCACGGCCTTATAAGACCTTTGTTAATGGCCATGGAGAATTAATCTAGTAGCTGATTGCCTCAGATATTTTAGATCCTTTTTTGAGAAGTTCCATTGTAAAATAGTGCTAGTATGCCTTGATGAAAGTAGACATTTTAAATTCTGTACCATTAAGAAATATAAATCAATTTTTATCAGTCCAGGAACCCATACATGATCATGAGGTATATTTCTATGACAACAGAAATATAGGAATTTGGGACATATACGGTGAGTAGATAATGGATAGCACACAACCCCTAACTACGCTTACAGTTCTAAAGTTGAGGGAAGCAGGAGAAGAAGAAGACAATAGATAAGATGGATAATTAGCTTTTCCAGGATTTTCCCAGGTATTGATGTCGATCTGATTGGTCTGTAGTTTCCTGGATCCTTTTTTTTTAAACCCTTTTTGAAGATTGGAACCACATCAGCTGTTTTCCAGTCTTCTGGCAGTCTTTCCATGCTCCAGGAACTCTGAGATATTTCATTCAGTGGTTCTGAGGCCACATTGGTCAGCTTCTTCAATATCCTGGAATGTAACCATCTGGTCCCAGAGATTTGAACCTGTTCAAAGCAGATAGGTGTTCTGTCATCAGTTCTGTGCCTATTTGGATCTGCATTATGTTCTGTCTTTTCTTTTGTGTAAAGACAGATGCAAAGCAGGGATGGAGCAGTTCTGCTTTCTCCTTGCTGCCTGTCATCTTTTTGCCATCTTCTCCCATTAGTGGACCTATTGTTTCCTTGACTTTCTTTTTGTTCCTTACATTTTGGAAGAAAGTTATTTTTGGCATTTGTTGCACATCTTAGTTCATTACTTTCTTATTTAGCATCTATTTTAGTGTAATACTTTCTTACTTACATTATTACGTAGGTGAGGCAGTTATGCAGTCACTGTGTCTAGTTAAAAATATGCTGTTAAGAGCCATTTATTTATTTATTTGCAAAACTTCTGTACCACCCCAATTTCACAGCATTAGCTTACTTTTCTTACGTATGCAGCCTTTTTTGTTCAAAGCCCTTTCTCCATACCTATCAAATATGTAGTCTGTGTCTCAACAAAATTAAACAATTAGATCACCTTCTCATAGCCTTGTAGATTGTGCCTCACATGGGTGTAAATAAAGTTTGAAACATGGAGAAGCCCCTCATAAAAAAAGAACTGGAGTACATTCCTCAATGCCTTTTAGTGACATTTCATGGAGACTAATAACTCCTTAAACTGATGCTCTTTGGCAAGGAAGATTTGGGGGAGACATTTATCAATCAATGTCATATTCATTGCCTTTCTAAGTTGTAAATCATTTTATGTGTCTGAAACACAGAAAGAACTAATTGGCTTTATTGTTGCTTTATTCATATATATGTATATGCATATTTTTGGGGAAATGACTAGTAACCTGTAACTATGGAAATGGAGGTTGCCAACACACGTGTGATGACACAGATAGTGGTCCTGTATGCGGTTGTCATCAGAAATATGCATTGCATTCAGATGGCCGAACGTGCATTGGTAAGTACCTTTCTATAATTGTGTGGGTGTCAGTTGTAGAAAAGGATATGTTAAAGAATCTTAATACTATTTGATAAGATTGGATTGTGAATGTCATGTAAGCCAGCAAATAAGAGCATAATGATGCATTAGCTGATTAAGGATTTGTTATTTTAAACAAAAATGAGTGTCTTAGCTAAATCCCAGCTGATTTTAAAGAGTGAGTTATGTATTTCTGACAGAAATCCACACCTAGATTTTTCTCCAATTTAGCAGTGTCTGATATAAGCTTTAAATAAATTCTGATGACATTTTTTACTTAATTTTTAAATGGAATCTAATTATGAAAGCCAGAAAGTCCAATAATAATTCCTAATTAAATTTTACCATGGAACATTGAATAAGATAGAAGCTCAGTTTTCATGAACCAGAGCTCATTGTGCAAACTATACAATTTATACAGAATTCTCTCTTCTTTAAATATTGATACATTAACCAAAGTAACCCTATATCTGTAGAGAAATAAATTGTCATCTGTAAAAAAAAAAGTCTAATGCCATGAAGTCAATATATATATATATATATATATAAATAACCAACTCTCCTTTAACAGACTTTGATCATGCAGAGCAGGGTCTTGGTTCCAACATGGAAATATCTCAGGGTTAGTTCACAATTATTATCTTGGGTGAAATGAATAGATTTCATTTTAAAAAGTGGACAGATTAAGATTATAAGTAAAATGTAATTGCTATGCTGGGTTTAGGATATTTGGGGATTCTCGATAATTGTATTTTTGAATAATTAAGAATAATCCTAATAGGACTATTCACATAACTGCAGAGGATAACCTTAGGTTGAGAATCTGAATATTGATGTAATTGAGGGTTCTGAGAATAAAAAAAAAAATCACACTTAAATTTCTATCCTATATCTTTTAATGATTTTTGTTCGGTTTGGCATACTGTTGAATCACTGAAAACTATATTTTCTCCTTCCATTTTTGCAATGTTGCTATGTAATATGACATCATGTTACACTATTTGTTCTGATGTAAGTCGCATATTGCTGCTTGTGTGTGCATTTTTTTTTTACATGTCCTTCTCCACTCTCTGAGTAGAATTTTCTCTTAGATTTTTTTTTCCAAATTTTTGTTTTGTTTTCATTTTATTCCTGCTTTCTGGTGATGGTTCCTGATTGCCTGTCTTGTATGATATCTGAAGTTAATAAATTATTTCTGGAAAAAAAAAACTCAAAACGGAAAAGGAAATGTCAAACCAAAGCCTCTATTGCAGCCTGATCCCATCTAGAACTTGATTTCTTCCTAGAACAGAACCATTTAGCATTTCCACAGATAAACCCTGCCAGCTTCTTCCCCTTCCTGTGATTCTTTTGCTCCTTTGTCTTTACTCTCTACGGTGATGTCTGCAATTCTGACATCACTGCACAGATGCAAATATTTGCAAAGGCGCCGAAATTATCTGTTTGTCTAATCCATTTTGTTTTTGTTTCTTTGGCTTATTTTCTTATTTGATGTCTGCTGCATGTACAAGTCCCCCCTCCCCCTTGTATTTTGTTTTTGCTTTGAAATGCAGTACGTTTTTTATCATTTTATCATTTTAATCCCGCAACCACTGCTTTGCACATTATTTAATCATCTTTACTCTTATCATCTCTTCTCATCCCTGCAAATGGATCATTTGGGGATGTATTTTGAAATTCTACATTAATTTGCTGTAATGCTGATTTGGAGTTTTTTTCATATATACCAGACATCAGAAATTACCTGCAAGATGCCATATCACTAACACCACCATCTGCTTTACTGCATGCTTCAAAAATTATTAGTCTCTTCCTATGACATCTTTTTTGTAGCACTGAATGTTTAGCTAGTTGTGTTCCATAGACAAGCAGGCAACCAGCACTGCCCAATTTGTTTCATTTTTAAGTTTGTGTTTCTTTTATATTTTATTTTTTAAAATGCATGCATTTTAAAAAAAAATTCTTGTGATTTATTTATTTATTTTAAATCAACATGAGCACATTTCCATGCCCACCCATCACCGGATTCTTGTCGCTTTGTTCTGTTTTCAAAAACTAGCATTTGTCAACATGTCATACTTACCTCCCCCCCCCTTTTTTTAACAATGTTTACTTTAAATATTGTTATAAATTACGTTTCTAAATTAACACCAGTCTGGGGCATCCTTTCATGTGTGTGTGTATGTGTGTGTTTATTAATGGGAGATCTTAAATGTTGGCTGGGGAATGGCTTTGTTTTCACCCCCTTTTACCACCTCTGCACTACCTTCCTCCCTCCAACAAACCTTGGTCTGTGTCTGGGATTACAAAAGGGAGTCACATTTCTAAATGGGGTTTTTCGTGTTTTCATGCTTTAGTTGCCCAAAGCCAAGAGACTGTCTTCCATAGTGGAAAACTGGGCTTCTCATTAACCAAGTGCTCCATGTTTGTCCCCTTCCTTTGTTTTAGAGAAGGATGAGGCTGCAATTGAGAGCTCTGAGTTCAATGCCACGTCAGTAGCTGATGTGGACAAGCGGGTGAAACGGCGGCTACTTATGGGTAAAACTTTTCTTCCACTTTCTTTGTTGTGCTCCCAGCTTTGTCTTTCTCTGGTGGGGATGAGGGGTCGTCAGTTATTTCCATACTTGATTTGTTCATCTCTGTGCTGAGGTTCCTAATTTGTTAAGGATCTCAGGTTTTCATTGAAAAAAATATCATTTTTTTCATTTTACATCTATTTGTATACACAATCTGTTTATGACATTGTAATGTTAATGTTGAAAGTCTTTACTGCAGAGGAGAAAACGTTGGCCAATAACGTACTTGCCTGGCACATACTCACTTTTCACACAACTTGTATCATTCTATGACCACAAACTTATCAAGTACATATTTGATACATTATGATACAGGTGAAGTTTTGTTCTCCGAGCTTGTGGGTTGGTGTACAAATGTTTTGTTATCAGGCAAGGTAACACCTTCAGGTGTGGGTGTGTCACGTGAGGGTCTTGTGATGGATCAGGTGTGAGTCACCAGAGAGAGGCTTGTGATGGGTCTTGTGATGGGGAGGATACCCATCACCAGCCTCACACTGATGACTCACACCTGACCCACTGATAATTCACACCCTCCAATGACTCTGAGCTGAAGTAACTTCCCCATCACAACACCCATCACCAGCCTCAATCTGATGACTCACACCTGACCCATCACAAGACCCTCACTTGACACCTCCCCTACTTGAAGCTCTTATAAACAGAAAAACACCGACATTGACATCTCCTAAATGCCATTGAAGAGGTTACCTAGCTTGGTAATGAACCATTTGGAAACCAACCTACAAGCTCGGAGAATGAACCTTCCCCAGCATCCTATACCTGAGCTACAGATATTTGCCACTATTGCAAACATTATGATGCATTATGACATTATTACATGATGCATCTAAAATACACATTAACATAACCCTTGAGATTTATGTTAAAGCAGTGATATTGTAAAATGATTTATCTCTTTTATGTGGGTCTTTATTAAAACAATGGTTTTCATTTTGCTTTGGTCATAGAACATTTCCTTGAAATAATTTTGAAATTATTGGAAAAATCTCCTTGCCTAGTGTAATCAGTAAGCTGTCATGTACTTTTTTTTCTAATCAAGATGTATATAAATATAAATATAGCCAACTGCAATAGCTGCTGTTTTTTCTACTTTATTTTAAGTATTTAAGGCTGGTAAATGCAGAAACAATAATTATTTATTGCTCTTGTGGGATTATTCCTTCCTTTTATATAGCATTTAATTAGAATTGTGGTCGTATTTAGTCATGTTAGTAATTTACTTATGAACATAGGTAAAAACAATCATCCAGTGTAAGACGAATGTGTTATTCACATGGATTTCAAATTTCCCATGAGCCTGTTGTCTTAACCTGTGGACCTCTATTGTACAGAAAGTTAAAATTCATTTAGAATACCAACCTTCCATCTAATAATAATGGGAATAATGAGAGTTGCAGTTCCAAGGCAAATAGAGAAAACAAATTGTAGATAGTTGTATAAACATGGTCCATCATTCAAAAATAATATAATTGAGATTCTACAAAACTGACACGTTACCTTCATTATATGTGATCCAATAGCTGAAAATCAAGATAGCAACCAGTATCATGATCTAGGTTCCCCTGTCATATGCAGCAACTTACTTTTTTTACAGAGAGAGAGAGAGAGAGAGATTTCTCGGAGTTGGTGATTTTTTTTCTCTTTCTTCCTCCAAACCTTTCTTCAACGGGTTATATAAAGACTATCTATCTATCTATCTATCTATCTATCTATCTATCTATCTATCTATCTATCTATCTACCTACTTACATTTCTCTCTCTCTTATTTATTTATTTATTTATGAGACTTATATACCGCTTTAAGTGCAAGCACTCTCTAAGCGGTGTACACCAGTAAGCAATGTATATATATATTTACATTGCCCCCCACAATCTGGGTCCTCATTTTACCTACCTCAGAAGGATGGAAGGCTGAGTCAACCTTGAGCCGGTGAGACTTGAACCACTGACCTGCTGAACACAGTCAGCTAAAGTGGCCTGCAGTACTGCACTCTAACTGCTGCGCCACCTCGGCTCATCTTATCTATCTATCTTATCTATTAGCTCTATCTATCTACTTACATCTATCTGTCTACTTACATCTCTCTCTACTTACATCTCTCTCTCTATTATCTATCTATCTATCATCTATCTATCTATATCTATATCTATCTATGTATTATCTATTAGTTCTCTCTCTATTTACATCTCTATTATCTATCTATATTATCTATTAGCTCTCTCTATCTACTTACATCTATCTATCTACTTACATCTCTCTATTATCTATCTATCTATCTATCTATCTATCTATCTATCTACCTATTATCTGTCTGTCTCTCTGTCTATCTAGCTATCTATCTACTTACATCTCTCTCTCTCTTATCTGTCTGTCTATCTGTCTGTCTATCTATCTATCTATCTATCTATCTATCTATCTATCTATCTATCTATCTATCTATCATTTTAAAACTGCATATCTCCCTCACAAGGGGCTCCAGATGATATACAAATCCGTCTAAGCCTCCTAGAATTACCGAGAGAGAATTGGATGGTCATATCAATTTTCTTAAACAAATAATAAAAACATAAAATTTTGGGTTTTTTTCTGTGACCAACAGAAGAGTATTTAAAATTTCCTGCTTTGTTTCCATTGCAAAATATTTTCTTGGCACCATATACAGCCAGGCTATTTAGGATCAGACCTGAAAATTTTTGGATGGAAGGAAATCCAGGCCTGTAGATTAGATTGGGAACTTGAAAAATCAAGGAAGGAAATGACAAACTACTTTTGTATTACTGGGTGTGTCAATTTGTTGCTTAATTTTTATTTCTTATCTACATAAATTGTGGACTTACGACCACAATTCAGCCCAAAATTTCTGTTGCTAAGTAAGACATTTGTTAAGTCAGTTTTGCTCTGACTTTTCTTGCCAAAGTTGTTAATTGAATCACTTCAGTTGTTAACTTAGTAACATTGTTGTTAAGTCAGTCTTTGACTTTGCCTGTCAGAAGGTTGTAAAAGGTGACATGACTCCAGGACACTGTGACCGTCATAAATATAGGTCAATTGTCAAGCATCTGGATTTTGATCAAGTGACCATGGGGGATGCTACAGTGGTCAAAAATGGTCATAAGTCACTTTTTTCAGTGCCATTATAACTTTGAACAGTCATTAAATGAACTGTTGTAAGTCAAGGACTCTCTGTACTCATTATCGTGACTTTTAACTGGGTGAAACAGTGCATCATTTATTTATTTACTTGTTTCTTGGTTTGTTTAACTTGGATGCTGCCTGTCTCACCAGAATTGACTCTAGGCAGTTTACAAACATTAAAGTAAAATGCATTATAAAGCATTAAAACAATAAATAAGGATCATAAATTAAAATTCAATTAAAATAAAACTAACCAAGAATGAGAGGGAGGGCAACAGTTTTTGAACCCATGTACCACAGATGGACTATCCTACAGAATTTGTCCAACATCTGGGACCCTTGATTCCTGAGGGAATGAAATTTGGGGAAGTTGTGGCTGCTCAGTGCTACTGGCTGCTGTTGTTGCGGTCATGTGATCTTCATTTTCAATATTTTGTGACAGTTTCCCAGCCAGTTTCACAATCCCTTGTCCCAAAGGTGCTTTTTCACAAGGCAACTGGACTTTCTTGTTTTTTCTTTTGAAGATGTTTCGCTTCTCATCCAGGAAGCTACTTCAGCTCTGACTGGATGGTGTAGAATGGAAGGTTTTATATTTCTTGCACACAGCTGGTCATTTGCATTCTTTTAGCGAGTCAGGACAAGATTCAGCAGTCCATCTGCATTTAAAAGACAAAAGCCACTCTTTTGAAGACAGCAAAGTCCACATTTTGGACAGAGGACTGCTGGGGTCAAAGAGGACCTCTAGGTCAAAATTGAACAGCCCTCTCTCAACAGACAGGGAGGGATAGGACATCATCTATCTCGAGTCTACAACACAGACCTTTCAACAGTCCCAAGAAGGCTCCACACACATTTGCACTATTCAGATGACCTTGACGTCACAGATAAGCATCCAGGTGACATCAACAACTCTGTCCTGTTCTTGCACTTGATGTTAGAAAGTCTAGCTGTACTTCGCTACAGAAGTCATTGAAGACTAAAACTACTTATTTTATGTAATTCCTTAGTACAAAGCATAGACAATGAATGAAAAATAAATTAATAACATGCACAGAAGGAAAGCGAAACAAAGCAAAATTTCACTCTTTTTTTTATAGATGTATAATGTTACAATATATTACTATGCAGTTCACTGAACTCTGTATTTAAATGTGTTTCCTTTTAACCATATTAGAGAAAAAAATACGATGGCCAAATCTAGCCAGAATGGAGGGATAGTATTTATACCATTATTAACATTTTAGCACAAATCACCAGATTTCCAGAACATGCTACTGTTGTCAGAAATACATACAATGATCAGTATCCGAAACAGTCAACCATCAATATTCTTTCAAATGTATATATTCTTCATATACTATATTTCTCCAGAGGTAGAATCTGATCTTATCAAGAAATATGCAAAGGTTGTGACCTACAGAATCCTTCTTTCTGTAAATCATAACTTTACAACAAAGTAGTACTAAACCATTTAGAACAATAATACCATTTTTCTTGAGAAATGTTAATTACACTTTTTGGTAGAGCTAAAAAAATATGGCGCTGTCCTCATTCTCAAAAGATTGGTTTGTTGTTGCCATTATTGCCTGCCCAAATTCTAATAAGCTCTTAAGTGGCATTGGGTGTCTTTTTGTCTATTTCAGCAGAAGCCACATATATGAACAAATAGCCTGTGTTGGCTGGAGATGATGGGCTTAAAGATATGCTACCACAATATAATTAAAACTGCATAATTAAAACCTTATTTTAAATTTAGCTGCTGATAAATTAGCTACACACTTTAGCAAAGGTGTGATAAGAATAAA